AAAAATGAAAATGGAAAAATGAGACCTGTGGAAACCAGTCTAAGAAGGAGGGTAGGGGGATAAAGGAGAATAATGGAGGGGGCAAACTTTTGTAAATGTCACAGTGTACCCCCAGTACAATAATAATATGACAAAAAAATTTTAAGTACAAAATCACTAAAAAAAAACATGGCACACACACACAGAGCACAAGAGGCCTCGAGTTCACATCCGCAGTACCATCAAAAAAAAAAAATCACAACTAAAGAATACAATACCAAACATAAGTAGCAAAAAATATTTTTAAAACCAACAATGTCAGGCACTTTGGCGTGTGCTTGTAACCCCAAAATACTCAGGAGTTTGGAGCCAGCAGGGGCAACAGTGTGAACCTCGTCTCAAGTGGAAGTGTAAATTAGTAGGTAGACCCATTATGTAGAATAATACCTTATTTTTATTTTTTGGAGGTACTGGGGTTTTGAACTTAGGGCCTTGCACTTGCTAGGCATGCACTGTACTATCTGAGCCACTCTGCAAGCCCTTTTTGCTCTGGTTATTTTGAAGATAGGGCTTGCCTGGACCTCGATCCTCCTATGTATTCCACCCTCCCCCGCCCCACCCGGAGCTGGAATGACAGATCTGCACCATTGCACTCAGCTTTTTTTTTTTCCATTGAGATGGGATTTCACAAACATTTATTACCTGGGCTGGCCTGAAACCTCGATCCTCCATATCTCAGCCTTCCAAGTAGCTTGGAATGATAAGTGTGTACCACTGTGCCCAGCTATTGGTTGAGATGGGGTCTCTTGAACTTTTTTTGCCCAGGCTGGCCACAAACTATGATTCTTGATCTCAGCCTCCCAAGTAGCCAGGATTATAGATATGAGTCACCAACACCCAGTTGTAATAATATTTTAGAACCTTAGTATGATCATAGTCTGTAACCCAACAGTTCCATGTTTGGCAATTTATATTAAGAAAATTTGTATTAGAATGTAAAGACTATAAACCTGTGTGTACGGATGTTCATCAAATTGCTACTAACATGGTCTCAAAAAATGCAGTTCTCAGCTGGATGCTGGTGGTTCATGCCTGCAATTCTAGCTATTCAGGAGGCAGAGATCATGAAGATGGCCAGCCCAGACAAATAGTTCACGAGACCCTATCTCAATAAACCCTTCACAAAAACAGGGCTGGTAGAGTGGCTCAAGGTGTAGGTCTTGAGTTCAAGCCCCAGTAGCGGAAAAAAAAAAAGCAATTCTTTTGTTTCGTTTTAACTTATCGACTTCCCTCCCAAGCTCCTAAATACTGGTTAGTGGGAAATAACTTAAGCAAATATCACTCTAACAAAATCTTAGTGTAACCTGATAAATTAAACAGTCATTGAACACATTGTTTGATAAGAATGGTAGTCTCCCTGGGCACTGTGTACATGTCTGTAATCCCAGCACTTGGGTGGCTGAGGCAGGAGGATTGCAAATTCCAGACCAATGGGAATATCAAGACCTTGTCTCAAACCAACCAACCAACAAACACCAAAATGACATTTAGGGTTATTGGACAAACGGTGCACACTTTATACTTTGCTATGGGAGGGAGTAAGTGACCACATCACCTCAGCTAGCAAATGTTCACAGGAATGTCTCTTGTCCACCTGGTCTTGTTCCTTGTTAGTTTCCAATGCAGCCCATCTTCTTGGTTTGAGCAATGGTCTCAGTAGCTTCTAAGTGGCAACAGTACCTTAAACCTCTGTTGGGTCTACCTAGCTTCCAGCCTAACTGACCACTCCTTAGCCTTTTAAAAAAGTTTTCAGCTTTATTGAGGTATAGAAACAAATAAAAATTATGTATATATATTAAAGAGTGCAATGTGATGAATGATATATATTGTGAGATGATTTTCATGATCAAGTAGGTTAACACATCCAGGGCTGGTGGAGGGGCTCAAGTGGTAGAGCACCCGCCAGCAAGTGTGAGGCCCTGAGTTCAAACCCCAGTACTGCCAAAAAAAAAAAAAACTTAAATGACATCTCATACTATGTTAAAAAATCAGTACGTTTGGGAAATGCTGCCTATTTTATCTCTTGTGGAGGTTTATATTAGCCTATCAAAGGTAGATTGAAATGAGATACAGCAAGGCATTAATAGATTTACTTGTAGGTGCTAGGATAATGAATATTTTTATGAATATTTTTTCTTTTTTCTGTATTTTCTGAAATATCACAATAAATATTACTTTTATAATGAAAACAGTACCGAGACTATTCACATTTTTCAATGGCATCTTTTGAAGGAAAAATGAAGGCAAAGATAAGTTAAGGTGGAAAACAGTTTAATTTTAACCTCATTTGAAGCAAACAGTACCTTCTCCAGCTCTGGGAATCTGACAAGCTAACTGCTGCACTTGCTCTATTGAGTCTAGTTCTTCAACGGACTGGTTCACCTATGAGAATGCTGAGAAAGGAAGAAAAAAGCATGAAGACTGAACTAAGTTTGTGTTCTTATACACTGTCCTGGTCCACTCAGTGTTAGTATGCAATTCCATCAGCCGTTCCAACGTTGGATAAGAAGTAGTGGTAGAGTATGGTCAGATAAATTTTCTTCTTTTGTTTTTAATGTATCTTTTTAAAATGTACTAATGAAACAATAGAGTTTGTTATAAAAAGATCAGAAAGTACAGATAGACAAAATGAAAATAAATAATAATAACAATAATTAAAACAATCCATTCACTATCTCAAGGTCTAAAATGTTGATTAGATTCTGAGAGGCATATCCCCTATATGTTTAGTTTTAATTACAATTTGGATTAAACTGTATATTCTCCATTATAATGTCTTTTCCACTCAACTACATGTCAAAATATGCTTCCACACAATTATCCTTCTACACCAGTATTTTGGTGTCTAGTACCCATAATATGAATACACCATGCTCTATCTAGCCAGCTCCAAACAGATGGGTATTTATGTTGTCTCCATTTTTCATCACAAAGCACACTAAATTACTTGTCATGTTTTTTTCTTTGCTTGTTAGCACTGGTGAGTTCTTCCGATGGTCACCTCTGCTTCCAGAGTGCTGGGAGATGACCTAAGCCTTCATCACAGCTGCAGCTGATAGCAAATAGGTGAGTATAGAAGGAGGCACAGAGAGGCTGTTTACATTCCTCACTGTGAAATGTGTTCATTAAAATCAATTAATTAAAAATCTGCTATATACCCAGTGCTAAGTGCCCTTTATGACATTATACTAAAGTCTTCTTTTATTTCTGCAGCATTCAAAACACATAAGCACTCTTTTCTGTTGGATTATTTCGGTTGTCTTCATCAAAGAAATCAATTAAGTGCCTCTTACATCTGTAATTTTTCCTCTAATCTTACTTTCACTAAACTCTTTATATCTCTATGTAATACTGCTTGCTTTTAAATACTGTTTTCTCATCTTCTTTATATGTGTACCAATGTCTCTCCTCCTTTGTGCTTCCTCATTTCTGTGATGGTTTGTTTTTTTTGCCTTTCACATTTTTCTTGGGAAGAAGAAAGAAGATTGGTGAACATACAATCAGTTTCTGTCAGTTTTCATGTCTGTTTCTTCGTATCTGTTTTACTTTTCCTTTCATACAAGACTCCTACTTGAGAAAGAACTTGCTTGCCTAGCTGTTCAGAGCGCTGTCATTAAGGATCCTCTTTCAGGGTTTGCCTCAGTTGCAGAGGGTTGCTAATGTTCAATAACTGATCAAAGTGGGGTTACAGAGGTACACTTCTTTAGGCTAACATGGGACCAATCTGATGGGGTCAACCAAGGCTTTCTGGTTTCTTCAAGGTAGTTCAACTTCTTCCTTCTTCCGCCTGCCTTCCACAGGCATTGATATCCAATAATACCCTGAACACCCAACCTCTGTCTCCCTATCTGCTTCAAGAACAATTTGACTTATGGCACACCCTCTACCCAAGGCTAAAATCCCTTTCATCACTGTGTCCATGTCAAAGTCCAGAGTATCTAGATGATGCTTGGTTCTCTCAAGTCTGGGAGTGGCTCTGCTTAATGCAGTGACCTATGAACTAAAACAAGTAATGCCCCTGATCTCCACACCCCACAATGATGATGGAACAGAAGAGGATCGCTACCATAAACATGCTCTTTGGAAAGAGGAAGAATGGACACACACAGCAGTCATTGCTCTGTAGGAATCCTAGGATCCTGCTGGGCAGACTTTGATTAGGCCCAAATTCTGCTCTGTAGGAGGAGCTCCCTGGCCCATTGATCACCATCTGGGAACATTATTCAGTTCACCTGAAGCAAGAGTTGGTGACCATGCTTTTGTTTAGGAGCCTTCAAAAGTGGTAATCTCATGGACGGTTGAAGGTCTGGATCCTGTTTACAACTGATAGCTCATTTAATTCTAGCCCGTGGTTTCTTTGGCAATAAGTTTCTCTCAAAAGCTTAGCTGACTTCTAATCAGTAAATTTAGAAGCAATTTGGTCTTTTAAATCATGCAGGACCCCACATTCCTGCTATCTATTCCCATCCACTGTTCTTGCAAAGTGGCCATCATCTCTTCTAATACCCTTAGTCACTTTGACAGTCCCCCCACTCACACCCTGGACTCTGTCACCTACCATAGCACTGATCTACCAATCTGTAATTATTTATCTTATTTCTCTGTCTTTCCACCAAGGAAGACAGAGATACAGGTAAGTATCATTGCTTGGTAAACACTGATTGTGAATTAGCAAAATTTAGTTTAACTAGTTTTCCTCAAGAATCTCTTCAGCTTCAATTGATTTATGTAGATAAATATTTTCAGGCAGTTGAGAACACAGTTAATTATATATTTTCCACATGTAGTTCCTGAGCCAAAGGAAAGAAAAATTAGGAGCTAATGAAGTTAAGAAACGAAAAGTTCAGTTGCAAACACTGGCTATTGGTAATGGATGGGTAGGTTATAAACAAAAAGCATTTCTGTGCCCTGACTCCTCACATTTCTTCTCTCCTCCCCCTCCTCATCCCACAATAGCTTACGTGAGACAGCAGAGGGTCCCCATTAGTGCTATGGCGATAAGAAAAGCCAAAATGGCTGCTGGAGGCATGGAGCTCTTGATGAGATCCCACAAGTAGGCTCTGAAGTTGGTCATCCAAGATCCCTGGTTTCCTGCCTCTAAAATGATCAAGGAATCTACATTATTTTAAATGAATATCCTCAGATGGATATCAGTTTCCCTCCTCATAAGTCAAATAGGAAAAATAATCTCTGCCCCAGATATCTAAAGGGTTATTTTGAGTTTATGGGGTACTTTTGAAAGAGGAGTATGAACTGTTAAGAAAATCTTAACTGAAGTGTTGTTACCTAGAGTATGTCTGGGAGTTCCACAGAAGGCTGAGGGGACTTAATGTCCCGGGAGCAGAGAAGGTAGGTACCAGGGCAACTAGGAAAAAGAAGTTTGGGGAAAGTCTACTGATCAAAGTAAGACTCTGGAGATATTAGGTCTTTCCTTTAGGAAATGTGGGTGGGAGGAGAGGATAGTGTGATTTTACCCCAAGGAAAGTGGTAAGGAAAAACAAAGCTGTCTGCTGCATGTGGTTGAAAGGGTTCACACTCACTAGCACAACCCTTTCCAGAATTCCAGAATGGGTCTGAGCAGCAGGTGTATTTCTCCTCACCTGAGACATAAATTTTATGTCTTACAAAAATAGGAGCATTCATCCTAACAGCAAACATGCCCCTTGAGTGGGATTTCAATTCTGCTTCTTCTTGCATTCTTAAGGCTGATAAAGGTGAAGGTGGGGAAGCTACCGTCTCCAACAAGAAGCAAGTCAAAGAGCCCAGCAGAAATCCAATGCTCAACTGCTTTTGAGGTTCCATGGACTCTTATTCTGCCAAGGGGAGACTTCTTTGTCCTTACCTCTTTCCACAACAGTTTTGTCTGAAAAGTTCGAAAATGGTTGTTTAGGTCTTATTGCAAAAAAGCTTCTTGCCTTCACAAACACCAGGATAATTCCCTGATTTATATGGGTGAACCCTGATCATGGTGAGTGTCCAGAGCAAAGTGTATCCCCACCTCCAACAAAACAAAACAAAAAGAAACACCAAAACAAAACTTTACCATGTTCTATCAAGTCAGGTGCCTTAAAATGTTTTTGCCCAACTCGATTAGTAGAAATTCTTTCAGCTGTTCAGGCCAAATTGCATTGCATCATCTGTATTCTTTTTTCACTTCTACACTTCATCCATCAGAAAAATCCTGTCAGCCTTAATCTACAAAATGTATGCTGAATCCTGTCACTTCACACTACCTCCACTGCTATCCGCCATTATCTCTGTCCTTGCTTCCCTTCAACATTTTCTCCACTGAGCAAAGAGATCTTGCAAGTATTAGGTAACATCCTGCTGTTCTGTTGATCACTGACTCAGGCTTTTTCCTCTTGAATATGCTTGGCATGTTCTTACTTTGGGGACTTTTCACTTGCTAGTGCCTCATCAGAATCTAATATATTTCCTTATTTTATTTTATGTCTGTCCTGTGATGTAAGCTTCATGAGCCTACGCACAGATACAGCCTAGACTGACCTCAAAAACATAATCCTCAGCCTCACTGGTGCTGGAATAAAACAGGGATATGCGTGATGCCCAGCTGAGTACAGAGATTTTAGTCTATTCTGTTTGCTATTGAACAGTACTTAAGACATAGGATATTCAGTTGCTTAATAAATATTTTTGAATGAATGATGAATTTTCCCAGATAATGTTCATCACCCAAAAGTCATTGATTTTTTTCATTTTTCATTTCTACATCCAACTGAAAGAAGGTGGAAAAGCCATTCCTGTAGTGAGGCTTGTAACATGGTGCTTGACAAAGAAACATAACAAAAATCTGGTTAGTAGCCTTTGAGAAGGCTTTTGGTTGCCCTCAATAGAAGAGGTCGTCCTACCATTTCCCATTCAGGCTGCCTTAAACACTTTTAAGAAGTGTTGCCTGAAGTTGGTCTAGCTATCTTGTGATCATGAGGCAATGTCTTTGAGGAAAAGGCCAAGAAAATGATGTATACTCTGATTCTAACAATTTCAAGTCATTAAATTGATACCTGTTTTTTGCTGCCCGCTTGACTGCTTGTAACAAGAATAAGGGTTACAGATTAACCCCTGTTAGAGTCATTATATTAGAATAAATAGACACCTGACTCTCCTTACAGCACTAGGGTATGGGTTAAGCACTACAAAGCATTGCTTTATTAAGCACTGTTAAGTCCTGTTGAGATTCTTAGTTTTGTGTTGAGCTCTCTTTAAGTCTTTACTGTAAGCACCCTATGTTTTTTCCGTGAATGAGCAAAATCACCTGGAGCAGGCCATTCAGGCTTTTAAATGACAGAGGTTAGACCCTCCCCTTATGTCTGGCAGCCTGGAATGGTGAACTGTCAATTGAGCACCCCCTTCTCCGGACACTTTACTGTCATTCTGAAAACACTCCAGGTTCAAGAACCACTGCAACTGAAGCCCTGAACCCCGTTCTGGCCTCTACTCAGAGACAACTGTTCTAGACAACCTGCACTGTCATTGGAAGGCAGCTGCTGCCACTCAAGATGGAAGGCGGAATATCTCCTTAATAACTTAGCAGGGAGCCAGTGATTGGTGGATGTCACACACATCTCCTGGCTATGTAATCAGGCTGCTCAGCCCACTTTTCTCTCTTTTCTTATTGTTGCGCTGGGTGGGGTTCATTGTGGCATTTACACAAGTTCTTATGCATCAGATATATCATCCTGGAATTCCCCCTCCCCCCGCTGTCCTTTATTCTCCCCTCCCCCACAGTCCACTTTTCAGGTCAGGAGGGAGATACCTTCCTGTACACCTCCTTGGTGTTGCAACATCAGGCCCAATAAAGGTTTCTCCCGAATGTTCTATTCTTGCCTACTTGTGATTTTTGTCGTAAGGAGAGTGGGCCGAGGTAACACAAAAGGAGCAGCAGAGGCAGAGGGGCTGTGGCAGTGGCGGTAGCAGTGGATAGGCCCTGGGAGCTGCCTGGCCTTGAAGGCTGAGAGGGTCAACGCCCACAGCTATGAAGAGCAAGGGTCCTGACTCCAAGGCCTAGGAGCCCTAGCACTAGCTGGTGCTGAGGCTGCCCACTACCCCTGTTGCTAGGCTACTGCTTAGAGCCGAGAATTTCTCTAGCTGCCAAGTGCCAGGCTGCTGGCCATCAGAACCCAGAGCATTAAGCCTCTAACCTGAGCACCTAGAGCTGTAAGGCCCTGGCTTCAAAGGCTTGGATCTATATATTTCTAGTTCTCAGGGCCACACCCGTCTGAGTCTCTCAGGCTAGCCCATACATCTCTGACACTTAAGGTCCTAGGACTACGAACACTAGAAGAGGTACTGGTTGCCTACTCATAATTTCCATCTGTGTAGAGCAAAAGGACCCGCCAGCTCATTGGGAACAATATTTTGGGCTTATTATTACTTAAGACATTTATAACTGATACATTCATTTAATGTTTGATAGAGCTTAAAGAGGCCATAGCTGGTAGGAAGCTACTTACCTGAAAATTAACTGAGCACCAGGGTATCCAAAGAACTCACAGAGTTGGACATCAGTGATGGTGAGTCTTCAGATGAAGTCTGCCAGAGTACTCTCCTTAGGTCTTTGAAGTTCCAGATAGAATCCCATCACTATGGCATCATCAACCACATTTAACCTTCACCCAGGCTTTTTTGTTTAATAGTTAAGCACACAGACATCTTTTTCTGTCTATGCATACACATTTGTATTGATACTAACACCCACTCCTACAGTAGTTGTACCCTCTTAGGTTTGAAGAATTCCAAGATATTTTATTTGCTACATGGTATTTGCTGCACTTACAATAGTGTGTATATGGAACTTTAATAGATACCCTGGCATTTCTTTAACACATCTAAAAGAGATTGAAATAATGATGAAACAATTAGCTCTTCCTTTGACTACACTGAACTGAGAGCCCTTTGCCACTATGCAAAAAGATAAATGAGGCAGGGGTATTGCTCAGTGGTAGATTGCTTGGATTTTATGTGTGAGACTCTGGGTTTGATCCTCAGCACTGCAAAGCATAATTCTATATGGATCAGAGACTAAACAAAAATAAAACCATACATATGTGAATATATGTATACTGAAGTACTTAGAAAAGTATTGTGTGCTTAAAATGTTTTTTCTAAGTCATCACAAATTATACATCTAAATGCTTCAATGGTGGAATATTTAATATTCTAAAGTAAAGACCTTTAAATTACTATTACACATTATGATTACTGCAAGTCTAATGTATTTACACAAAGAGAGAACCTAAAAAGAGGGATATTACAGAAATCACCTGTACGTAATAATTGGATGATTCATTGTGAGTATCTGCGTTTTCCCCCCTTCTTTTGGGTAATGCAATCTTCCATTGTACCCTCCCCTTGCTGTAAGATGAGGACTATGTGATCCATCTTGCTGAATTCCTGTGAAATAGCACACAATATTATCGATCAAGAACAACAGAATAAGAAGTTTGTCTTTTTAAAAACATGAAAATGTTTTTATTTTAAAATATCAAGAATAGCTGACTGCCTGTGGCTCACATCTATAATTCTAACTACTTGAGAGGCTGAGATCAGGAGGATAGAGGTGATGCCTGGTGGAGTGGCTCAAGCAGTAAGAGCGCCTGCCTAACAAGCAGCAAGTGTGAGGCCCTGAGTTCAAACCCCAGTGCTGCCAAAAAAAAAAAAAAAAAAAGGAGCATGGAGGTTCAAGGCTAGCCAAGCAAACAGTCACAAGTCACCATCTCTAAAATAACCACAGTATGAAGGAAGGAGGGATAAAGAAGAATGACAGAGAGGGTGAATTCAACTATGATATATTCAAATATGATATATTGTAAGAACTTTTGTAAACCCCAGTACAACAACAATAAAAAAGAAAAAATAATAAAACACATTTTATGTACAGGAAAAAAGATAACCAGAGCAAAAAAGACTGGAGGTGTGACTCAAGGTAAAGCACCTGTTTTGTAAGTGTGAAGTCCTGAGTTCAAACTCCAGTCCCACCAAAAATTAAAAAAAAAAAAATCAAGCATATACTGAGTATAAAATCGATGAAGAACTTTCTGTAGGACAAAAATATGTTAAAACATACAATAGAAGTTGTGTTTTTTTTTTGGGTAGAATGCAAACTTTGTATCAATTAAGCTTTGAATTTCTAAAATGCAAAATACCAAAGCTTTTCCACAACAAATAAAAATCATGAATGTGACCTCCCCGCCAAAATTCAAGACAAGATTTAACAATAAATCCAGAATGAGTGACCAAAATTTTAAATTATCAGTAATAGCTCAATTCAATGGTTCTGTCAGTAAACTTCAATTTGAAACAAAAAAGACTTTTAATCACCAGTAAATTTAAGAGCAACACTTATTCATATCATCTAATTTGAAAAGTATAACCCATGGCAAATAAAAAAGTTACAAACCAAGGGACCAAAACAGGCAATCAGCATTTGCAGGAATCAATAGATGTAAATCAGTAGCATATCCTGTACATCATATGTAGAGAAAAGAAAACTATAATTAAAGCAAGGTAATTTTTATTAGCTATATAATCTAAAAAATATGAGGAAAATTTGGACTATAAGAATTACCACCAAAATACACATTTCTTGGCGACAATGAGCAAAGTTTCTATTTATGTAAAATGTGTTTTTCCACACAGTGAAACTAAGAAAAAAATATAAACATATCAAATGGGAAATCTTTTTCCTCAAATAATCTTAAATACCCTTAAGTGCTCCAATAACACAAGTCTTGGGAAATATAAATTTTCTTCTCAGACTTGAAATATTTCTTGTCACCAGATTT